TTCTTTTCTTTTCTTTTCTTTTCTTTTCTTTTCTTTTCTTTTCTTTTCCTTTCCTTTCCTTTCCTTTCCTTTCCTTTCCTTTCCTTTCCTTTCCCCCTTCCCCCTTTCATTTCTTTTCCTTTCTTTTCCTTTCCCCCTTCCCTCTTTTCTTTTCTTTTCTTTTCCTTTTCTTTTCTTTTCCTTTCCTTTCCCCCTTCCCTCTTTTCCTTTCTTTTCCTTTCCTTCCCTTCCCCCTTCCCTCTTTCCTTTCTTTTCCTTTCGTTTCCCCCTTCCCTCTTTCCTTTCCTTCCCTTCTCCCTTCCCTCTTTCCTTTCTTTTCCTTTCCTTTCCTTTCCCCTCTTTCCTTTCCTTTCCCCTCTTTCCTTTCCTTTCCCCTCTTTCCTTTCCTTTCCCCTTCCCTCTTTCCTTTCTTTTCCTTTCCTTTCCTTCCCCCTTCCCCCTTTTCTTTTCTTTTTTTCTTTTCTTTCCCTTTCCCCCCTTCCCCCTTTCTTTTCTGTTCTGTTTTCCGAGACAGAGTCTCGCTCTGTCGCCCGGGCTGGAGTGAGCGCCGTGGCGTCAGCCTCGCTCACAGCAACCTCAAACTCCTGGGCTCCAGCGATCCTCCTGCCTCGGCCTCCCTCCCGAGTAGCTGGGACTACAGGCATGCGCCTCCACGCCCGGCTCATTTTTTCTCTCTATATATTAGTTGTCCAATTAATTTCTTTCTATTTATAGTAGAGACGGCGTCTCGCTCTTGCTCAGGCTGGCCTCCAACTCCCGACCTCGAGCGAGCCTCCCGCCTCGGCCTCCTCCCAAGTAGCTGGGATGACAGTCATGAGCCTCCACGCCCGGCCTACTGTTATTATTAATAATAATGTAATACTGTAACATGTAATAACACTGTAATACTGTAATAATAATGTAATGTGCTAAATCTGGCTTTCTAAATTCCACCCCGGTGGCCTCACTGGGTCTCGACCTTTCCCCGGTGGCAGGAGGCGGACCCGTCCGAGCGCGTCATCGCTCCCATGCGGTGGGGCCTGGTCCCCTCTTGGTTCAAGGAGCGCGACCCTCGCAGCCTGCAGTTCAACACCACCAACTGCCGCAGCGACACCATCTTGGAGAAAAGGTCCTTCAAGGTGGGTCCCAGGGCGCCTTCTTGGGTGTGTGGGGGGCCCCCATCTCTCTCTCGGGGCCCCAGAACCTCGTCCACGAGGCTATCTATATAATAAGGCCACGTGGTTTGGCCTCCCCCCCAAAAAATAAATCCAGTGGGTCCCGGACTCGGGTCACACTCTGCTCCTTTTGCGCACAGAGCTGTCGTTAGTGTCTCGAGTTCCCCGGAAATAAAAGGGACAGCGTGCTCCCTCCTGCTGATGAGGGGCTGCAAAAATAGGAAGAAATCAGCCAGACACCTAAAAATGTGAAGAAATCAGCCGGACACCTAAAAATGTGAAGAAATCAGCCAGACAACTAAAAATGTGAAGAAATCAGCTAGACAACTGAAAATATGAAGAAATCAGCCAGACACCTAAAAATGTGAAGAAATTACCTAGATAACTAAAAATATGAAGAAATTAGCTAGACAACTAAAAATGTGAAGAAATTAGCTAGACAACTGAAAATGTAAAGAAATTAGCTAGACAACTAAAAATATGAAGAAATTAGCTAGATACCTAAAAATATGAAGAAATTAGCTGGATACCTAAAAACATGAAGAAATTAGCTGGATACCTAAAAATATGAAGAAATTAGCTAGATACCTAAAAATATGAAGAAATTAGCTAGACAACTAAAAATATGAAGAAATTAGCTAGACACCTAAAAATATGAAGAAATTAGCTGGATACCTAAAAATATGAAGAAATTAGCTGGATACCTAAAAATATGAAGAAATTAGCTGGATACCTAAAAATATGAAGAAATTAGCTAGACAACTAAAAATATGAAGAAATTAGCTAGATACCTAAAAATATGAAGAAATTACCTAGATAC